TTTTCTCTTTTGCATTGACCTTGATGAATCTTATGACTATGTATCTTGGGGATGGTCGTCTTGTACAGTAGCTCACAGGGATTCTCTGTATTTCTTGAATTTGTGTGTCCACCCCTCTAGTGAGACTGAGGAAATTTTCATGGACTATATCCTTAAATATGTTTGTCAAGTTGTTTACTCTCTCTTCTCTCTCAGATATGTCAATGAGTCATATATTTGTCTTCTTTATATAATCTCATATTTATCGGAGGTTTTGTTCATTTATTGAAATTCCTTTTTCTATATTTTTTTCTGACTGAGTTGACTTGAAGAGCTGGTTTTTGAGCTCTGAGATTCTTTTGTCAGTTTGGTCTATTCTGTCATTAATGTTTCTGACTGTATTATGACGTTTTTGTAGAAAATTCTTTAATTCCAGAAGTTCAGTTTGATTGTTTCTTAAAATGACTATTTTACCTCTCAGGTCTTGAATCATTTTACTGGATTCCTTGGATTGTTTTTCAACTTTCTCCTAGGTCTCGATTAGCTTCCTTGCCATCCAGATTCTGAATTCTGTCTCTGTCATTACAATAATTTCAGTCTGGTTAACAACCATTGCTGGGAGACTAGTTTGTTTGGAGGTAAGGGGACACTCTGGCTTTTTAAGTGGCTGGAAAAAGCCAGAGTGTCTTGCATTTATTCTTTCTCATCTGAGAGAGCTGGTGTTCCTTTAACTGTGATGTAAGATAAATGTAGTCAGTTGGCTTCATTTCTAGGTACTTTCAGAGTGCCAAGGCTCTGTATAGGATTTTTATTTGTGGCTGGATTTTTGCCTAGGGTTTCACAGGCACTGTATACTGGCAAAATATTTTTGTCATTCTAATTTGGGCTGCGATCCGGTAGATGACACTTAATAGTGAAGGCTGGCAGATAGGCTCTTACTCAGTCATGTGGCTCTTTGGTATTTTAGCACATTCTCAGTAGCACTGTGTGATGTGGGGAGAGAGATGACATCCTCACAGGTTTGCTCCAGAGCCTTGGAGGAGCCTCCTCTGATCTGGTGCCACACTCACATTTCTTTCCCTCAGGCAGAGGCCATGGCTGGCAGACAGGCCACACCTTTTCCCGACTGGCCCTGCAGAAGGAGGCATATCTTGTTCCCCCATCTGCCCATGAATTCACATATCTCACTCCTCTCAGTGTTCTGGGAGCGGGGGCTCCTCCCCTCCTTGGGTGCCACCCATACCAATAAGTCTTGTCTGGCTAGGAGCAGCAGGGGTGGATGAAATAGCATGGACTGTTGTCCAGGTGTTTCCCAGAAGAACCCAGGACTGTGTCTCTTGGCAGAGTTCAGGTAGGAGTGGGGCTGCTGTGCTGACGCCTAAGCCAGCAAGCTCCGCCTGGGTAGCAGCAGCGGGGGTTGGTAGAGTTGTGCGGTCTGCTATCCAAACGTTTACACTACTTCCTTGATTTACTCTTTGTTTTATGCAATCATGAATTCTCATCCTTATGACTTTGAAGAGTGGTGGTACGTGCCATCCAGCAAGCCTTTTGAGGGCAGAGTTGAGGACTAGGAATATCTGGAAACGTTGTGACCCTACCGCAGTGTCTTGGTCAATTAAATTATTTTTTGAATTCATCAAATCACAAACCCAGTCAAGGCCAATTTCTTCAGTGTCATGTAGGAATATTTATAATATTCGTTATTATTGGTAGAAGTGCCCCTACTAGTAGTGTTTCCCCTTTTGTACCTTTCTTTGTTTTGTTTCACTAGCCCAGATTGTATCTTTTTTTCTTTTTTTTCTCCAAATTCTACAATCCTTCAAAGTTCGGATCAACTATTTTATACCTAATTATTGCCCCTTTCTCTGCCTGATTCAAATACCTTAGTACTTGTTTCTTACAATTTGTACTTAAATATCACTGCAATCATTTATATATATAATAAATATATTGCATATAGGTATACGTGTGTGTGTGTGTGTGTGTGTGTGTATATCTCATATGGAACCTGTGTAGTGGTTTGCACGAAGTGTGAGCAGAAAGTACAGAGTTCCCATATACTCCTTCTCATCTATTTTCCTCTATCATTAACATCTTGCGTAAGTGTGGTACATTTGTTAAAATTGATGAACCAATATTGACCCATTATTATTAACTAAAGTTTATGTTAGAGTCCACTGTTTTACATTATAAGTTTGGACAAATGTATAGTGACATGTATTCATCAGTACAGTATCATACAAAATAGTTTCGTTGCCCTAAAAATTTCTTGTGCCACACCTATTTATCCCTCCTTCCCCTGAACGCTTGACAACAGCTGATCTGTTTACTGTCTCCATAGTTTTGCCTTGTTCAGAAGGTCAGATAGTTGGAATCATACAGTATATATCCCTTTTAGATAGGCTTTTTTTTTTTTTTTTTGCTTAGCAATATGCATTTAAAATTCCTACATGTCTTTTGCTGGCTTGATTCTTCATTCCTTTTTATTGTTGAATAAAATTCCATGGCATGGATGTACTATACTGTTTGTGTATTCACCTGTTAAAGGATATTTGTGTTATTTCTTAAAGAATACTCTTTTTTTAATGCAGGGTTTAAAAATTGCTTTAGTGCAGGAGTAGAAACTAAAACTTATTTCTAGAAACCGGAGAAATCAGAAAATATGCCATATAGTGAAGCATTCCGTTAAAATTGCTTTAGCTCTTCTGAGGTCAATGCCTATATTGCATCAATATATAACAATATTTACATTTTAAAAATAAATGCATTGTTATAATAATTAGAAATAGAAACATTTAATTTTTTAAAAATTTTCTGCCTAAACAAGATTTCCCAAAGCATGACAGTATAGAGAGAATTTTTTTTAAATTAATGTTTATCTCTTTATTACGTTCCACAAAAAAGTTAGAACTTTTAAAATATATGGTTTGAATGTTTTGTCCCACCCAGGATTTGTGTGTTGAAACTGAATCCCCAATATGACGATATTAAAAGGTGAGAGTCTTTGGGAAGTGATTAATTCACAAAGGGGTAGCCCTTATGAATGGATTAATGTGGTTGTAAAAGAGGCTTCAGAGAGCTACCTGACTGTCTTTCCCTTCCGTCTTCCCCCATGTGAGGATGCAGTAGCAAAGTGTCATCAATGAAGAATGGTGCCTCAGCAGATAACTGAATCTGCAAGTGCCTTGATCTTGGACTTCTCAGCCTCTAGAACTGTGATAAAATAACCTTCTATTATTAGATATTACCCAGTCTGTAGCATTCTGTTATAAAAGCACAAATGAACTGAGACAAATGTATGTTTCATTAAGGCTTGTATTACAGAATCCAAGAATGCAAAAAATAAATAAATAAATAAATAAATAAATAAATAAATAAATAAAAGGTGGGGGGCCTAGGGTCATCTGGTCCATTTGGTATCCAATATCTGAATTTCTTCTCTGACATGGTAGGCAGGTGGTCTTATAATATATGTTTGGACATTTCCAATGACAGGAAAATTACTCTCTTATAAGTCAACTGGTTTTACTTTTTTAGATAACTCTAATTGTTAGAAAGGTCTTTCTTTTATTCAACTAAACTCTTTTCCCATAATTTCTAACCATTCATTCTAATTCTACTCCATGAATAATAAAGGATAAATTTAATCTTTTCCCCAGTGATAGCCCTTTAAATATTCAAAAGATAGCTAGAATGTCACTTTCCATATTAAACTTCTTAAGCACCTTATCATGTTAGACATTTTCGCCTGAATGATTTTGCTGAATGGTTTTTACAGCTCTCTAAAAACATTTTGTGGATGCATACCTATATTCTTTTTTTCATTTGTTCATTCAGTAACTATTTTTTGAGTGCCTGCTACCTGCCAGATACTGTGTTAAGAATTGGGCATATAATGCTAAACTAGACAACAACTGGCCCTTCCATCATGCAACATGCAAGGGACAAAGATAGAGATTAATGGGGTGGGGGAAGCAAGGTATTCAGGGAAGGTCAGCCAGGAGGGGAACCTCCCAGACAGATATGTGGACATGTGGAAGAACCTGGAGCTAAAAAGGAGTTTAGCAAATTCTAGGAACTGAAAGAAGATCACTGGGACTAGAATGCAGTGAGAAAAGGTGCATGTGGTGGCTTTGAAATAATTACCACTATACATTATATGTATTGAAACATCACTATATACCTCATGAGTATGCACAATTAGTTTTCAATTAAAAAATAAAAAGAAATTGTAAAAATGTCCACAAATTCTTTCCTAAGATGGTACCTAATTTCCATCTCTTATATCTGGGCTGGACTCAGTGGTTCTTTCCTAGTGAATAGAACGTGATAGAAGTGATGCTTTGTGATTTCTGAGGTTAGGCCATTCAAAAGAACAGCTTCTACTTGACTTGCTTGCTGTTGTATCTCTCATTCTGGGAAAAGTCGGCTGCTACGGTGTGGGGACTCGCAGCAGCCTGCGGAGTATCTCACATGCAAGGAGCTTGAGGCCTCTGCCAACAGCACACATTAAGTTGTGAATGTGAATGAACCACTGTGGAAGTGGATCCACCTGCTCCAGTTAAGCCTTCCATTGACTGTAGCCCCAGTTGACATCACATCTACAACCTCATGAGACACCTCCCAAACCAGGACCACCCAGCTAAGCCACTTCTGAATTCCTGACCCAAAGGAACTGGGAGATATTTATTGTCATTTTAAGCCACTAAATGTTGAGGTAATTTGTTATGCAGATAAATGATAGAGAAGAGATGTGGCACTTGGTTTGCTTCTGGCTTCAAATAACACAAGACCCAACTAAAGTTCTGAGGAGTTTATTTTGTCCCATAATAAGAAGTGCACAAGTAGTATACCTGCAGCATTGATCAAGTCAGTGGCCCAATCAATACCCAGGTCTTCACCATCTTCCTGCTCTGTTATTCTTGCCTTGTTGATGATGTCTCCTCATAGAACCACAAAGAATCGGCGGCTTCAGCCATACCCTGGGCTAGATAGGCATTTCCTCCTGTGTGTTTTCATAGATGAAGAAAATCTTCCCCTCATTCCTGGTGGTCAGAGCTGGATAAAATATCCACCCTTCAACCAATATCAGACAAGTGACACAGATCAGAGTAAACAGAACATGCTGACAGACTGGATGTGGAGCATGAGAAGAAATGGAGAGGACCAAGGATGACCTGGATTTCTGGCTTACGCAACTGCGTGGAAGGTAGTATCTTTTTTTGTTTTGTTTTGGTGGGAAGATCAGAGTTGTGTGGAAAAATTAAGAATTTTATTCTATTTATTATTATTATTATTGTTATTATTTTGAGACAGAGTCTATCTCATTTGATTCAGTGCAGCCTCATTGCGCTGCACCAGGCTGGAGTGCGCTGGCGCGATCTCGGCTCACTGCAACCTACGCCTCCCGGGTTCAAGCGATCCTCCTGCCTTAGACTCCCAAGTAGCTGGCATTACAGGTGCCCGCAACCATGCCTGGCTAATTTTTGTATTTTTAGTAGAGACGGGGCTTTGCCATGTTAGCCAGGCTGGTCTCGAACTCCTGACCTCAGGTGATCCACCCACCTTGGCTTCCCAAAGTGCTGGGATTATAGGCATGGGCCACCGTCCCTGGTCAAGGATTCTATTATATGTATGTTAAATCTGAGAGGTCTGTCAGACATCTAAATTGAGATGTCAGGGAGCAGTTGGATATTTACATTTGGAATGAAAAGAGGAGGTAAAGACATAAGCCAAAAAGAGGAGGTAAAGATGTAATGAGCCAAAAGATGGTTTTTGAATCCATGTAGCGGATGACTCAACTGTGGGGGAGTGAATGAGAGGTGGCAGAGGAGGCCCAGAGCCAGGCTCTGAAGAACCCCCATACCCTAGCTTGGGGAAAGGAGGAGTTGGCAGCGAAGGGAGACCAGGAAAGTGGGCAGGAGGAAGAAAGGCAGAAAATAATGTTGCCAGGGAAGCCACAAAGGGAGCAATTTCCAGGAAGGAGGGAGTGGTAATTATTTCCCATTTGCCAAAAGGTTAAACAGAATGAAGATATAAAAGTGACCTTTGGATTTAGCAGAGCAGTTTGTGTGGGGCGGTGGGGAAAGAGGCAGATTCCTAAGGGGCTGATGAGTCAATGGCACATGAGAAAGTAGAGACAGTGTGTGAATACAACTGCTTGGAGAAGTTGTCCTGGGAAGGAGCTAGGGTTGCTACAGTGGGATGTTGGATCAAGGAGAGATTAGAGCATATCTTATGCCAGTGGGAACATTCCCATACAGAGAGAATGATTGATAATGCAGGAGGAATGAGGGACAGCGGAAGGAGTAAAATCCCTGCGAACAACACGCACACACATCTGTGCATAGTCATACTTAACTTTAAGATTAATTAGTAGAGTACAAATAGAATATTTGTATGTTGGGTGTATTAACTATTTTTTTGGCAAGGCAATTTTGCAAAGTGGCTAAGAACCGAGACCCCTAAACAGAGATTTTTAAATCAGCTGTGTGAACTTGGGGTATTTGGGTTATTTACTTAACCTCTCTGTGCTCCAGTTTCCTCATCAATAAAATGAAGATAGTAATAACAATACCTGCCTCATAGAGTTGTCAAAGTGACCTTGGTTAATATATGTAAAGTATTCAGAGCAGTGCTGGTACAGGGAACATTCTCTATGTGCTAGGCACCTACTTGCTAGTATTTGCTGGGTTTGGTTCTGAGTAACTTAGGGCGAGGTGTTATCTTCAGAAAGAAAGTATTGATTTAAATTGTATTGTTATTTCTACATGCTTTTTGGATTGCTATGTGTGGACCTTTATAAAAAGTGCCATATATTGAGATGCAACCTCAAGAGATGAAATGAAATTTACAATTTCAAAGATAGTCATCTGACCATTAGTAAAATCATGGGTTAGTAGTTGATATTTATTATCTTCTGCCTGTTGGAGCTCTTGCATTGAAATAGAAAAATATTAAAAATGTGATATCTAGAAATTCATCAGAAAGCATCCAAAGATTGTTTGGGTGGAGCAGCCCAGGTGCTAAATTAAACAACACAGTACAAGCTGGATAATGGATGTGAACCTTGTACTACATATGCAGCACTTTCTTCCTCTCTTACTGAATGTTAATTTCCACCCAAGACTGTATAGCCATTTTCAGGAGTCTGCAAAGATAGAACATTTATAGGAATTAATGCTCTGTGGGTATACAATGTGGAGACCCTGAAGAACTAAAAAAGCATGAATAAATGTATTCCAATTATAGGTTAATGCAGGTAATGGGTTTATAGTACTTAGAGGTCTGGGTCTGTTCTCTGACAGCCTGCAGACATTAGGGGCCCCTCATGGCTCTGCTGCAATGTAGGCATTATGGAGTGATTTTTACTTTACTGCCTTTTCCATCAGATCATCCCCTTTCTTTCACACACAAGGTTAATTCACTTCTTGATCACATTATTTCCTCGCTGCTCTTTGACAATATAAAAATTCTGAGTGGACAGCTCAATCCCTCTTCCATCTCAGATTTGATTGTTATGGTATTGCCTGGCGTCCCTCAGAGGCCTCCAGCAGCCTTTGCTGCACTTTATGACACTTAAATGGCTCGGCTACAATTTCTCCATCTATTCACGAAATGCTGTTAATAACTCATTTCCAAAGAGGCCCTTCTTTATGTCTTGGCATTAAAGGAATTTTTATTAGGTGCCAGGATAGGTGACACACAGCCGCAGTAACCAAAGAGTTAATTAATCTGTTGAAATTTATTGCCTTTTATACTGCACTCAGTGTGACAGTCCCTAAGAGAAACAGATACTATATTTACAGCCCGAGTTGAAATATTCAGTAATATAGTCTGCATACTGACCTACTCCATCAGTGTATGCCTTCTGCTGGAACATCCATTAATCACAGAAGACGAATTTGTGTAATCTATCTTCTTTCTTATTCTGAGATTCCAATAAATATTGAAATAATAATTTATTGATTACCTTGCAATATAAATGTGTAGTAAAGGCACCCAAGACATTTGCATGGTAATACATTTTGGAAGATTTTGGCATTCTATGGGAATGAAAGGAAAAAACTGTGAGGAGTGGCATGGAATACTCTTGTGGGTGAAACTCTAAACTGATTTCTTAACGTGTGGAGAGAAATGAGAAGAGCTTTTGAACTACTAGAAGTCATAATCATAGCAACGATCATTACGTTCTTCAAAGTAAACATGAATATTTACTGAGTCTTACATTCTTTGAGTATTATCCTCAGAATGTTTTAGATCACAAATAATTTTCTTGTGCCACAATTTCACTTGTAAAGCCACCTCCTGCCTGCACTTAATCCAGGCAAAGATGAAAAAGGTATAGGCATGGGAATGCTAGCTTCTATGTAATACCAGTGAAATCTTCTGGGACCATTCTATAAATTCTTCAGGCTAAAATATATATTTCCTAGGACCATACTTTGAATAGTGTTTTAGGCTCTTGGCCTAAATCTAAATTCAGTCTTAAATTTTCATGAGTTCTGTTACTTATGGAGGTGTTAGTTTTGTCACTATGCTAGGATCATAATGATTTTTGCATCAAATCTGTCTTGATTCAGAAACATTAGAGAAGAGTATGAGAAGTGTTATAAAACATGAAGATATCCTTGTGGATCAAACATACTTATTTTTAAAAACTCTAAAAGTCTAAATGTGTCTGTATCTGGATATATTTTTAATGGACTTATGCTGTGTTGGGTAAAGGTAAACCAGCATTTTCTAGTCTATATTTGTGCCACTATCACCAGCATTACACGATAGGATTTGTTATAGGTTCAGTTCTTCTAGTTGAATCCAATCATGCACAGTTAATGTAGCCCATTTCTGGTCTCCATAATAATTTATCTTAGTTTTGGGCAACTCTTTATAGTCAGGATAACTCTGCAGAGTGGATGAAATTCTAATGTGTGGGATTTGTTTTCTAGTGCTTTGCTGATAAGGTTAACCAGATGGTGAAATGTAATAGCTTGGAAGATATAGTTTTGATATACAGTACATCATTTCTGGAATGATCATGAAAAAGCAAAATCAACAGAGCTTTTTAGATTCTCTTTTTTGGTCATGAAATCGAAAATATACCTTTTTATAGAGAAATGTCTCATCATAGTTCTCCTGACATTTAAACTGCTTGGCTATATATTTTTAAAAGAAGACAAACTGTTTTGAAAATGTTGCTATAAATTTTTATATATTGTGGATTTATATCTCATTTAAAAAATGAAAGATTATGCAATTTTTTATGTCACCTGAAGGAATGTCAATGATGTGAATTTCAAATAAAATAGATTTTCTTCAATATTTTTAGTAATGATGATATCAATTAATTCACTAAGGAACTCATATTTCTTCTAAGACAGTGAATTTTGATGAAACCACAAATCAGTGATTATCAAAATACTAGAATTAAGCAACCCTGAACATTATTTTGCTATAACATTTACTAAATTAGGCACAGATATTCTTTGAAGATGGACAATATACATTTTTTCATCTGTTTTGATTTTTGCTGATATGGATTATGTTAATTAGGGAAATCTATAAGTATCTCACAAATAAATTATGTGGATGCATTTAACTATAGATTTTTCTTTGTGATTTTTCTTCTGCGATTTTTCTATGAGATAGCAAATTACTGCTTAATTGCTGTACTTTTTTGGTGCTTTTTCCTTTTTACTTTCAGTATTAATCATTGCTCCTTGTTCTGCTTACATAAAGATACATTCTGATTTAAGTTCTCCCTGGTGTTTGGCTAATTGGGCTATTTGCTTAAAGCATACTCTGTTTTATGTCTTTATCTTCCATGGTATTTTACATTTTGGAATGACTGATTCTAATTCCTCTTCCACAGTAGCATAATTTCACAGTAGCATAACCTTGGGAATCCATTAAATTTGGCCTTTAAAACTCTGCTTTGTTTTTCTCCACACAGTAGTGAAAAGCGGTGGCATTTTCCACCACCCACAATGACTCTTCCCCCTTTTTTAGTAATGCTACTTTTTCTTTGCTTCTTAGTTCAAATCAACACAAAGTCTATTTCTTGAGCATCCATTACATGGCAAATTTTGTGTTGGGGACTGACTATGTGAAGTCGAATAGGCATAATTGCTGCTCTCAAGCTGTTCAAAGTCAAAGTCAGTTGCTTGAGACAGAGAAGTAACCAATAATGATTTTTAAAAGCCTTTTTAC